TTGTACATTTGCCCAAAACCAGTCAAAATGACTTCCTCGGGCAATTTAGTGTTAAATTTAGTGTCGAGCAGACATCGGGGAATAAAGAATCGTAAGAATTGTAAGAACGGGTAGTTTTATTCGGGTCGCATAAAGTAACCTTTTCGAGAACGATGGAAAACGTGGGAACGACCGTTTCTACAATAAGAATCTCGTATTCAGAATCGTTGAGGACCGCCTTCGAGCAGTTTGTACCTGCCGGATATAACCAGGGAAATGAGAACCGAGATCGGCATTCTGCGTTACCCTTTGTATGGCTTCGTAAACGTTCTCGAGACGAAGCGAGAGATAGCTGCTTCCCCTTGTGCTCCGTCCACGCGTTTCTCTCCTTTTTTAATGGTTCGCTCTTCCGGTATATCGTGTAACCGGTTCTCGATAATAGGAAACGATGTAGAAAGTACTATTCTTCTGTCGATTATATTTGCATCTTTACGAGAGTAATAGAAAAATATTGAACGACTTCGTATCCTATGAATCTATAGAACTGACTATTTATTTATTTATAACCATTTCTCGAAGGAAAAGATTTTCCATATTATAAACAATTTTTATTCTGAATGGTGAGACTTTTATTGATCTCGTCTATTATTTCGAATCTTGTGACCAGTTTATTCCACTTAGCATGGAAAAATAAATCCGAGAACGTTTCGTGGATTATTGCTGTAGACTTTACTACTTGTGGTCAGACATGCACTCTGTCCGACTTCGAAGTGGCTTATCTACTTTAAGTCCTTTGCTCTTTAGCAGCTTCGCTTATCCGTAACGTAAATCTTATTACATACACGTCATCGAATTATGTAATTGCAATTTATTGTTAATATAGTAAGTATTATTAGTATAGTAATAGTACCTAAATACACCACTACTGCTACTACTACTATTACTGCTACAAACTACTACTACTGTTATAAATACTATTGTTGCTAATACTACTGTTATAAATACTATTGCTGCTAATACTACTGTTGCTACTACTACTACTGCTGCTATTACTACTACTACTACTACTGCAGATGCTACTACTGCTGCTAATACCACTACTACTATTACTGCTACTACTACTACTACTGCTGTTACTACAACTGCTGTTACTACTATTGCTATTAATACTACTGCTACTACTACTGCTGCCACTACTACTGCTGCTACTACTATTGCTACTACTACTACTGCTACCATTACTACTGCTACTATTACTACTGCTACTAATACTACTGCTCCTAATACTACTGTTGCTACTACTACTGCTCCTACTATTACTACTACTACTACTACTACTATTACTACTACTGCAGTTACTACTACTACTATTATATTTTATTATACTTATTACTTTATTACATAATAGAAAGAATACAGTAAAAATAACGGACATATGATGAAATAAAAGAGAAAAAAGAAAAAAAACATAAGAAATTCTAAATATTAATATAACAAAAGCGACAAAATGGATCAGGAACAAATAAAACGAAAGTGTAATTATACTGCAATTTTACG